AATAACGTGGCCCAATAAAAATAAAAAGTGTTGGTTGGAGAGTCCAATTGGCGAGTGACCCCAGCATTGCCCTTTTTTTTTTTCGATCAATTCAAAATATAACTTATCATTTTAACATATTTCATAACAATGGATTTTTTATTTCTTTTGAGACGTTCTTTATTATTACTAATTATTGTAATTATTAATTTTTTTTTGTTTTAGACTTTAAATTAGTAATTTTTTAATTTTTAATTCTTTAACTATAATTACTAATTAATTATATTGCTTGATTTTTAATTTATTTAGGAGAGAAGTTTTAATCTTTTAATTAATTATTTCCATGGCGAGGAAGAATGTTTGTCAATTTTAAGTTATTGTGAATTTATGTTAATCACCTTTTTATCTTATTTTATACCTATTTCATGCTTATCTAGTAGGATCATGATTCATTCACCCGTCGGTTCGACACCCAACAAGTGCACACTGTATAAACTAAAAAATTTTAAAAGTAAAATTATAAATTTACCCTTTCATTAAACCATTTTTCAAATGACAGCAAAAACAAATCCCAACAAAACTCAATCAAGCATTCAAGCACCAAATCCATCTTTAGCCTAATCATCTGCAAGACAATTGGCAGTCGTACTAGGTTCCCACCTTCTTCCTCTTTTTTTTTTTTTTTTCTTCTGGGTTCTCCAACAGAACCTAGATTTGGGTTTCTATAGCAGAACCCAAATGGAGAACCCAGATTGGGTTCTCCAGATGGAGAGAAAAAAAAAAAGGAAAAAGACAAAGAAGGAAAAAGGAAGAAGATAATGAATTTGTTAAAAGAGGAAGATGGAGAGACAAAAAGAAAAAGGGGTATTGTGAGGAACATGACTTTTAAAGTTAAATTTGTAATTTTATTTTTTATAATTATTTGGTTTTGTAAAGTGTGTACCCAAGTGTTGAACCAGGAGGTGCACTAAGCATTTTCCTATCTATTAACAGATATTTTAGCCTTATATTTAAGTTTTATATTTTTTATTCTTATATTAGTTCCCCTACGATGCAAATCTAGGTCCGTATACTTAATTTGTTTAATTTTGTTTTATTTCAATCACAATTTAATTTATTCGCACAAATTACTCTATTTTTAAAAAAGCTTTAGCTTTAATAATTTGTTTTAATTAATTTATGAAGAATTTATTTTTTTGGTCTATGATTATTTTATATTTTACATTGGAATTTTAGGATTTGGGTTTTTTTTATTTATCTATGTTCATGTTTTATCATTGTTATATTCTTGTTTTTTTTTTATTTATTGTTTTTAGAGTATATTTTAGGTTTAAGTACCATTTTGGTCCCTCAACTTATCACTTTGGTACCAAAATTGTCCCTCAGCTTTAAAAAGTACCAAAATTATCCTTCAACTTTCATTTTCGATACCAAAATGGTCCTTCTGTCAGTTAAGTGGATAGGTGGCACATTAAAATGCCACAAAATCATTGCTTTTTTTGACTTTTAATGATGTGTAAATCCAGCAAACAAAATTTTGCTACCGTGGCATGTTTTTTCCACGTCAAATTGCTCTCCTTTTTAGATTGTGGGGCCCACATGAAAAATTGTTTTCCTTTTCCAGTTTCAGTTGAGTTCCCGAAGGCCAAACGAAAACAAAGCAATCAAACAAAGAAAAACTTCAAAATTGAAATAGAGCAATCAAACAAAGAAAAACTTCAAAATTGAAATAGAGCAACCAAACAAAGCAAGAAGCTAAAGAAACAGAGCAAAGAAAAACTAACTTTACCATCCCAAACTTCAAAATTGATCAAACCAATCACCAAGAATATGAATTTCGTGCTTAGAGCTATGTAAATGAAATGAAATTGTGAAATTACTAGAAGAAATGCTAGTGTTTGTTTCGCGAGGAACCCAGAAACTGGGTTTTTCAAGGAACCTCGCGTAACTTAGGTTCTGGGTTCGTCAAGGGTTCCTCATGAAACCCAGAACCTAGGTTCTTCGAGGAACCCATGAAGAACCCAGTTCTGGGTTCCTCACGAAACCCAGATCTGGGTTCCTTTTCACGAAACCCAGAACTAGGTTCCTCAAGGAACCCAGGAACCCCAAAACTGAGTTCCTCAAGGAACTGGGTTCCTCAAGAAACCTAGCATCGGGTTAGGTTTCGCCACCCAACACCGGGTTGGGTTCCTCGCGGAACCCAAATCTGGGTTCCGCAAAGAACCAAGATGAACAAGAGGAAAACCCAGCATCGGGTTCCATGAGGAATCAAGATGATGAAGAGGAAGAGGATGGTGAAGATGATGAGAATGATGGTGAAGAGAATGGTGAAGAAGATAAACGGTGAGATGATGATGCCGAGGATTAGGCTGAGGATGAGGAGAAAGAAGAAGATGATGAAATGAAAGTTAATTAACTTAATTATTTTAAAATTCATTTAATTTATAAATTCATTTTTATTTGACGTGGAAAAAAGAAAACAATTTGTTTTTTTTTTTTTCATGTGGGGCTCCACAAAAAGTGAATCTGAAAAGTGGGGAAGCAATCTGACGTGTAAAAATGTCACAGTGTCAAAAATATCCTTGCTGGATTTACACGTCATTAAAAATGAAAAAAGTCAGTGATTTTGTGGCATCTTAACGAGCCACCTGGCGTTTAACTGACGGAAGGACCATTTTGGTACCAAAAATGAAAGTTGAAGGATAATTTTGGTACTTTTTAAAGCTGAGGGACAATTTTGGTACCAAAGTGATAAGTTGAGGGACTAAAATGGTACTTAAACCTATATTTTATTTGTAATCTATAGATTGAGTTAATAACAAGAAATTATAGACATTAAACAAATCATTTTGGCTTGAAATTTTTTTTTGGAATTTATAATTGTGCCCCCCCTCTAATGTTAAATTCTGACCAGGTGCGCCGCTGTATACATCTATAATCTATATTAATAAAGTATTAAATGTAACAATTAGGTTAAGTTTAGTATAGTGGTAGTTTTTTATTTTTATAAATTTTACAACTTTTAACCAAAAAATTTTGTTTACTTTTACGTGTCTTCACAATATACTATTATGATTATTACATAAATAAGAAAAAAAATAGTTTTAATTAATGCCATTAATTAAACAACTTGATATTTTTTGTTATTAGTGTTAAAACTCATCTTAAATAAATTGTTAATTTTTAATTTTCAGTTATGGTTTTTTGTAATTGTGAAATTTATAAAAACTAAAGCCATAACTATATTAAAAAAAATCTTTATTTTCAAAAATTATTGATTGAAAAGTAGTGTCTTTAAAATTAGCACTCCAATTGTTTTTATAGGAATCAAGACATGCATTATTCTCCAACGAAAATATTATCATTACAATGCATAGTATTGTAAGTTTATAAGATAATATGTTATTATATAATTAGTTCTTTTTATTTATGACTTTATTTGTAATATTATATATAGTTATTCATTTAATATTACATTATATTTCGTTTAATATCATATTATATTTTATTTAATGTCACGTAAAATTTTAAATTTATAACTCTACATGATATTATAATCATAACATTGCAAATTATCTAGAGTTAATACGTTTAAAATTTGAAATTATCATCAATCACATAAATATTTCTATACGTAACCCAGTGATAGAAGTAACATGTTAGAAAAGATGTTTAGAAGGAGTCCAATATATTGTCATTTCTCTTATATAATCATATAGCATCCTTGGCTTGTGCATCTCACTCGCCCTAAGAACTGCAACGTACGATGCAGTGACTTAATCGCTAAGGTGACATGCATACATTTAAAAAATAGGTTATAAAATTGATTCTACCCATCTATTCATGCACCTGAAAATATAGTTTAAGTTAGGAAAACACTTAGAAAAAATTCAATATATTTTTTTTTGGTACATAAGAAGCTAGACAACACTAAGTCCTGAGGAACAAAGTGCCTATGCTGTCTTCATGGAGGACGCTCCTGATACCCGGAGGTGGAGATTGAAAAAAACTAGTGCCCTGGGTGAGAGTTTGTCCAATAGAGGCCATGTAGTCAGCTGCTGCGTTTCCTTCCCTTAAAGTGTGTTGCACCGTGCAAACCTCAAAGGAATTTATAAGGTGGAAGATGTCCAATAGAAGTATTGAAGCTGGGCCATCCCCGGTTTTCCTTACCAGTATCACCTGCATCGCCAACAAGGAATCCATTTCAAGGACCAGGTGGGTGAGACCCATCTCGAGAGCTAACCGAAGGCCAGCGCGACAACCCCAAAGCTCCGCCATATAGCTAGTTTGTGGCCCAATATTAATCGCAAAGCCATGTAGCCACTGCCCTCCATGATCTCGAATGAGACCTCCTGCACTAGCATCTCCCGATGCTTGACTCATTGCCCCATCAGTATTCAATTTGAGGAAAGGGAAATTAGGAGGAAACCACCTTACCCACCTAAGTAGGCGAGGGTGAGCAAGAATGTTTGTGGCCAACCCCAAGCTTGTGTCTCTAGCTAAGGAGGAAGCATGGTGAAATAGTATATGGGGGGGAGTTCTTTGATTGTCAAAAATAAGAGCGTTTCTGTTCTTCTAGATCACCCAAATGGCAGATAAGAAAAGAGTAGACTAGTTATGACGTGAAACATCACTAGTCATTGAAGTTTGTGCATTCTTCCGCAACCATTCGCTAAAGCCCAGCATGAAAAAGTCAGGAGGTAACACAGAAGCAGCTTCTTAGAACAAATGTGAGTGATAGCAATCACGCAATAGATGAAGTGGGGTTTCGGGGCTCTGCTCGCATCTCGGGCAAATTGGAGTTGCGGCAAAGTGTCTCGCAAATCTGACACTGTTTGTGAGCACTTTGTTTTTGCAAAGCAACCAAACAAACAATTTAATTTTCTCTATGCATTGTAATTTCCATATCCACCTCCAACTCTCCCCTTGCTGAGTTAAAACAACATGCTGCTGTTGCAACCGTTCGAAAGCCGACTTAGCAGAGAAAGTACCATCTGGTGAGTTGTTCCAAAACACTACATCCTCTTGTTGTTGAAATGCTGGAATTGGAGTTGCCAAGATCTAAGCAACTACATTGTTAGGGAGGAGATTTCTAAGCCAATCCGCATCCCAGTCTCGAGTTGAGTTAATGGCGTGTGAAACTGGGGTATCCATAAGAGTAGGTAACACTGGGGAAAGAGCAACTTCATATAAAGGCTTGTCACCCACCCAAATGTCCTGCCAAAACTTAATTCGCTGTCCATCGCCAACCCTCCATCGCAAGCCTAATTGCAAAATATTCCTGCATTTCAAGATACTCTTCCAAGTGGCTGAAGCAGTAGATGAGATGGGGCAGTGTATCAAGGACTCACCTTTCAGGTATTTAGTCGAGAGAGCCCTGCACCAAGGCTTATTTTGGTTAGAGATCAATTGCTAGCCTAATTTAGAGATCAAGACCTGGTTGTTCTCCTTAGCAAAACGTAAGCCCAAGCCTCCAAGATGCCTTGGTCTGCATACTATTCTCCAATTAACAAGGTGTTGTCTATTTGCAACGTCAAAGCCCCATAAGAACTTTCTATTCAGACTGTCGATGGCTGCACAGACGCCATTTGGCAACAAAATGGATTGCATTGTATAGGAGGGAATGGCCGAAGTCATAGCTTGGACTAAAACTCTTCTTCTTGCCATGCTTAGCAAGGTCTGTTTCCAGCCAGCCAATTTCACTTGAATTTTTTCCAAGAGAAGTTTGTAGGTAGAAGCTGAAGGCCGGCCATGCAGAATTGGGACTCCCAAATAACTACCCAAGTCTATTGTTAGGGGAATACCACAAGCTGCACTTAGATTTCCAGCCACATGCCTTTGTATGTTTGGAGAAACATATAAGTTGGACTTGGTTAAGTTGATATCAACCCCTGACTCATTAGAGAATTCAGTAAGGCAACCCATGATTACTTCAACCTGTTGGTTAGAAGCCTCACTGAAGAGCATGAGATCATTGGAAAAAAACAGGTGTGAGAGGGCAGGTCCTCCTCTGGATAGCCGAAATGGTTTCCATGCCTTGGAGTGCACCTTGCTTTGTATCTTGTGAGATAGCCTTTCCATGCACATGATGAACAAATAAGGGGAAAGTGGGTCTCCTTGCCGTAGGCCGCGTTGAGGATTAAAAGGTGGTAATTGTTCTCCATTCCAGAGGACTGAAAGTTGCAAAGAGGACACAGAGAACATAATCAACCTTATCAAAGGAGCTGGTATATTAAAGTCTTGTAGTACCAACTGGAGAAAAGTCCAATCAATGCTATCAAAAGCCTTGTGAAGATCAATTTTAAAAATCATTGCACCTTTCCTTCCTTTCATTCTACGCATTGAGTGAACTGCCTCTTGACTGAGAATAATATTGTCTGTAGTG